GGAGTGATGAGAAGATTAATAGTAATAGTTGTGCAGACTTTGTAAATAGTTGGACAGCGTTGAGGGAATTATTTGTTTAGCAGAGTGATGGCATTTGGGAAAAAACTGTCCTTGTGCCTAGTTGTTCTGGTGTGCAGTGCTCCTTAGCGTCGTTTTGAGGGTAGGAGTTGAAATAGTTTATGTTCGGGATTTGAGGGGTCTGTAAATATTTTCACAGCCCTCTTTTTACTCGTGCAGCATACAGGTCCTCAATGGAAGGCAGGTTGGTAGTAATTGTTTTTTCTGCAGTCCTAATTATCCTCTGAAGTCTGTGTCTGTCCTGTTGTGTATAATCAAATGATTCAAAGTGCAGATTGCGTAAACCGATGATAAACAACAACATAGCACAGTTGCCAAAATGATTCACTGGAACATCTGTAAAAATTATCATGTAATGGTAATGAAAAATTGATGAGAACGTAGAATTGAAAAAGTAGATGAAAATGAGCAGACCAAAATATTGTGGCATTTCCAAATACAAACCGATAAAAGTCTTGGCTCATAACACACCAAACTGAAATGTGGTTGAACAGGAAAAAAAAGTGTGGATAATTGATGTGGCAATACCAGGAGATAGTAGAATAGAAGACAAAGGATTGGAGAAGATCACAAAGTATTAAGATCTGAAAATCAAAATGGAAAGATGATAGCATAACCCAAACATGATGGTGTCACGGTGGTTATTGGCACAATGGGTACCATACCTCAAAATTTTAAATGGAATTAAAAAAAAAATCTATTAACAATATTTCTATGTGTCAATCACAAAACGCCACACTGCTTAGATCTTCACATGTGCTCCACTTATATTTTACCACTTCCCAATTTCTTGGGAAAAAATCGATGTGTAGGAAGGCCAATACCAGCTAATGAACTGGCAGCTGTGCCTTCACATTGTTGTGAACAGAAAAGAATATATTAAATTCTGCCAACTTCCAGTCACTTTTGGCATTCATTTAAGCAACAATAAAGCAATTTATTAAGCAGCTGTGCCTTTTTTCTAAACTCAACCAACAGGTGCAGTATTCACACTCTTACCTATTTTGAAGCATCTCTTCTGAACAGACACTAAAGCATTGTGCAGTGCTGAAAAAAAACCCCACTACATTTGCAACTGGCTCTCTCTGTCTTGTAGCCAATGCTTCATTTCAAGATGCTCACGATGACATAGAAACATAGAAAAGTCACAGCAGAAAAAGACGTAGCAGCCTATCGAGTCTGCCTTTTGAGTTTTTTAAAATTTATTTCATTTTTTTTCCAGATGATGGACATGTGTTCATTCCAAGCATGTTTAAAACTCAGTTCGTAATACCTCAGCTGGAAGTTGGTTCCATGTATATTCTCTTCTGGCTTTATTCTCTCATAGCACCACTGCAAAACAGGTTGGACTTAGAGGCCACCATCTCATAACACTTGCAGAGACTTTCACAGAGGCAAAGATTGCTTTTAATCCTGGTTAGGATTATGTGTATGCATGTGTGTTGGAGGCTTAGCATCAGGGCTGGCCCGCTGGGGGTTTGCAGGGGTTCGGGAAAACCTCTAGCTAAGATTCTGCACACTTTGGCTGGGTTTGGATCCGCGGGCCCGGTCCGGTGGCAGGGTTGGCTGGAAAACCTTCATGGTCGCCATTTGTTGAAAGGCTTGGAAAATGCCTTTCTTCTGAGGATTCGATTTTCCTGCTAGGAGAGCTCCGGTGCAAGGATACAGACAACTGCTTGAAAGCTGGGTCTTTTATTTTTTCAGGAAGGCGAGAGATAGCAAGAAGTCTGCGTTCCTGGGGCTACCTAGCTTTGTATGATAAGCCCCTGATTTTTATACCCTTTTTTCTCATTTTGTGTGTGTGTGCTTGTGTTTGTATTTCTTAATGTTTTAAATCCTGTCAGGGGTTGTCTTCATTTCCGCCGGAGGGTAAACTCCGCGGGGTGGTTTGATTGGATTATCAGTTTCGTCCTAATGTTTTCTTATGTTTGTTTTGTGGCAATCTCCTGTCTGTCTCCTTTGCAATATATTTTGTGTCTTTTGTTTGTTTTGCTGATTTGGAAGGGTTTTCTTTTCTTGTTTCCCTAGTTTTCTTAATTATTTGGACTTTTGTCTAAGGGGCTTCTTTAATACCTTTTATTTGATTCCTTTTCCTATGCAAGTTTGTTTTATGGCTGGCTTGATGTTCCCTTTGGGCTTTTCCTGCTTGGGTGATACCACTGTCCTCGTGAAGTTTCCTTTCCACAGGAGAACCCCCAAATCCCACTCCTGGCTGGCTCCGCCCACTCCTCCCCTGCCCTCCCCTCCCAAGTGTCCCCACACGGCCCATTTTGGATGCAGGTAAGTGCAGGGTGTGTGTGGAGGCTCAGGGAAGGTGAAAAACGGGCCTACCGGAAGTTTGGGAAGGCCAGAAATAGGCCCGTTTCTGGCTTCTTCTAGAGAGCTTCCAGAGTCCAGTGAGGCCGTTTTCGCCCTCCCAGAGGCTTGAGGAAAGCCCCCAGAACTCGGGGAGGGCAAAAACGCCCCCCCACTTGCTGTGGTGCAGGAGGCTGACTAGGCCACGCCCACCATGGCCACACCCACCCAGCAACCAGGCAGGGAACCCGTTGCTAATATTTTGGAAGCCCTGCTTAGCATATTGGAGAGACCCAGCCAACTTGCTTCGTTTACGATTCCATTCATTGCGGATCACTAATTTTTGTTGATGACGGTTATGGTTAACCAGATATCTGAGCAGGCCAAGAATGACACGGACTGGGGAGAAAGGAGGACATGCTAACTGTTGAACAGAGGAAAATTGCAAGAAAATTGTACTTAGGCAAGCCTGTGCTGTTGTCGGCTTCCAAACCCCCAAAAGACATCCAGAGTTACTTCTAAATACAGTTGCTCCTCACCTAAAGACAGAATCTCACCAAACTTAAGAAACTACAAGTAGTCCTCAACTTACGACCTCAATTGAGCCCCAAATTTATGTTGCTAAGTGAGAAATTTGTTAAGTGAGTTTTTGCCCCATTTTACAACTTTTCTTGCTACCTTTGTTAAGTGAATCACTGCAGTTGTTGAATTAATAACATGGTTGTTAATGAATCTGGTTTTCCCTCATTGACTTTGCTTGTCACAAATGACAATTACATGACTCCTGGACACTGCACCTGTCGTAAATGTGAGCCAGTTGTCAAGCGTCCAAATGTAAATCATGTGGCCATGGGGATGCTACAACGGTTGTAAGTGTGAAAAATGGTCATAAGTCACTTATTTCAGTGATGTTGTAATGTTGAATGGTCACTAAATGAACTGTTGTAAGCCGAGGACTACCTGTACTTGCATCATTAAAGTTATACTCTGAAAATTTCTAGGGAGGAGCCATTTTAACTCTCTTTCTCTTGACCAAACTATCTAAACTTCACTGTCTCTTTGTCCTCTGGAATGCGGCCCCTCCTTCCTGGGAATCCAGACTACATTCCACCACACTATATATGAAATTAAGAGATTAACAGATTAACAGAGATAATCAGAGTTGGAAGGGACCTTGTAGGTCATCTACTCCAACCCCCTACCCAAGCAGGAGATCTACACCATTTCTGACAAATGGCAGTCCAATCTCTTCTTGAAGGTCTCAAGTGAGGGCGCTTCCACAACTTCCGAGGGCAAGCTGTTGCATTGGTTAATTGTCAGAAAGTTTCTCCTTATTTCCAGGTTAAATCTCTCCTTGTTAAGTTTCCATCCATTATTCCTTGTCTGGCCTTCGGATGCTTTAGAAAATGGCTTGACCCCCTTCTCTCTGTGGCAGCCCCTCAAATATTGGAAGACTGCTATCCTGTCTCCCATGGTCCTTCTCTTCACTAGACTAGCCAGGCCTAGTTCCTGTAACCCTTCTTCATATGTTTTGGTCTCCAATCCCATAATCATCCTGGTTGCTCTTCTCTGCACTTTTTCTAGAGTCTCAACATCTCTTTTATAATGTGGTGAACAAAACTGGATGCAGTATTCCAAGTGTGGCCTTACTAAGGCTTTATAGACTGGTATTAGTACCTCTCTTGATCTTGATTGTATCCCTCTGTTAATGCAATTTAGGATTACTTTTTCCAGCACTAAAATATGACTGGTTTTCCAGTTCCCGTATTTTTCCAACAAATCTTTATCTTCAAAAACCTATGTTAGCGGTAATACAGGGTTGACAACAAAGTGTTTTTCAAATTTACACCAAAGAATCGTATGAACATGCCGTGTGGTCTACAGATTACAGTGATCATAGATTTGAAAGGGCTGGGTTGAAGCCAATTCCTGGGATCAGGAAATCATTTGAATAACATAAATCTAGGCTGTCGGGTCTGTCGATGGACAAGGGAAAGGAAGAAGGAAGCAGACAATTATACAGGGACGTCTGTTGGGGAAACAGTGCAAATAAATATATAAATAAATAAGTCACTCAGAAAATGGACAGTATTTGATGGCAAGGCTATGCCTGTTGGACAAAGGAGATGAGAACAAAAAGGGGTACTTAAGTACAAAAAGGGGTACTTAAATGGCTGTCACAGAGAAGAGGGGGATTGACCAAAGTACATGAGGGCTGGATAAGAAGTAACGAGTAGAAGATCATTCAAGAAAGAGCCAACCTAGAACTAAGGAGAAGTTTCTTGACAGTGAGAAAAAATTCAATTAGTGGAACAGCTTACCTCCAGAAGTTGTGGGTGCCTCATCACTAGAGGTTTTCAAGAAAAATCTAGACTGGATCGCAGAGGCAGCAGGGCCCCTCAGTTAGTCCCAAAGGTCCTTTTTTTCAGGAGGCAACTGGACTTTCTGGTTTTTCTTTGAAGGCGTTTTGCTTCTCATCCTAGAAGCTTCTTCAAGCTCTGATTGGATGGTGGGGAATGGAAGGTTTTCTATTCCTTGCAGACAGCTGGTCATTTGCATCCTTTTACAGAGTCCTTGAGGCCACCTGGAGGTTTATCTGTGTCCTCAGGGTCACCCGAGGGGTGCAAATGGGTATGGAGCCTCCTTGGAACTGCTGAGAGGACTGTCTTGTAGACTGGAGATAGGTGATGTCGTATCCCTCCCCCGGCTGTGACATACAATGTTGACATACATAAGTCCCTTTTTTCAGGGCCATTGTAACGTTGAACAGTCGTTGAATGAATGGTCGTAAGCCAAGGACTACTTTTATGTGAAAACAGCCAGGGTCTCTGTGTTAACCAGGCTGAAAGGTTAATCTTTCAAGAAGAAATCTGTGATCCGGGCACGTATCTCTTCTAATTCGTGGCCCTCTTTTGTCCTAGGTTCCCAGGATCCTGGGAAAGTGATCCACATCAACAAAGTCAGCCATCAGCCAGTGCGGGTTGGGCTGGCAGAACCGGTGTCCCTGCCATGCCTGTTCCTCTTGCAAGGCTCCGTCCCTCCGAACCCCAGTGAACTGTCTGATCTCCCCCGTATCAAGTGGAGCAAAGTACAGTCTGCCACCGGACAGCCGGAAGATCTCTCTGTGCTGGTAGCCAAGGATAACGTGGTGAAGATCTCCAAAAACTACGAGGGCAGGGTCGCCTTGCCCGGATACCCTCACCATCGAGAAAATGCCACCCTCTTGTTTCTGTCAGCTCGGGCCAGCGATGCCGGACTTTATCGATGTGAGATTGTCATTGGGATTCATGATGAGCAGGACTTGGTCCCTCTGGAAGTCACAGGTAAGAAAAGGGCTCAGTATGTCTCTGTCTCTATCTTTATCACTATCTATCATCTATCTATCTATCTATCTATCTATCTATCTATCTATCTATCTATCTATCTATCTATCTATATCTTTCTGCCTGCCTGCCTGCCTGTCTATCATCTATCTATCTATCTATCTATCTATCTA